GCCGCTGTAAGCTCCGGTGCGTTGGTCCCAGGGTTCGGTTGTCCCGTATAAAGCTCCGGTTCGCTGCTATAAGCCCCGGTGTACCCGTCCCAGGCTCTGGGCCTCCGGCAGAAAGCTCCGATTCGCTACTCCAAGCCCCCGTGCAGCCGCTATGAGTCCCGGTGCGTCCGTGCCAGGCTCCGGTTCACTGCTATAACCCCCGGTGCGTCCGTGCCAGGCTCCGGTTGTCCTGTATAAGGCCCCGGTTCGGCCGTGCCAGGCTCCGGTTATCCGGTAGAAAGCCCCGCTCCGCTGCTATAACCCCCGGTGAGTCCGTGCCAGGCTCCGGTTATCCGACAGAAAGCTCCGCTTCGCCTCTATCAACCCTGCCGTGTCCGTCCCCCGGATCCCCGGTGCAAAGTCCCGGTCGAGCCGCTGCAAGCTCCGGTAAATCCCTTCCCAGGCTCCGGTCCGGCCGTTACGAGCCCCGGTACATCCAATCCGCCGGTGCAAAGTCCGGTTGAGCCCAGTCCCCGCCGCTCGCCCCCCTCTCTCCGCTATTTTATGAATGAACCGCTCGCCCGCCGCGCCGGCACTTTATACGGCGAGGCTCCGCCCCCCGCGCTGACGTCACGGCCCCCGCCGCCGCTGTCCCGGGACCCCCGGGACCCTCCGGACCCCGCGGTCGCCGCCGCCACCGTCGCCGCCGTCGTTCTGAGGCCCCTGGAGCCGCCGCCGCCGTTAAGAGGCTCCGCGACGGGCGGGGAACGGGGGGGATCCCTCGCCCCGCCCCCTCCGGAGTTCCTGTGACGCAATTAGCCATATATGGGCTTGTCTCGGAGTGTTTGTTTGGTATCCTAGCAATGACGTCACAGGGAATCCCTTCGCCGCCGCCGCCGCCGCCGAAAACGCGTATTAATAGAAACGGCAGCCGCGGTTCTAGAAACGGCCTGAACCGTCCGGGCCCCAACGCCGGTGACTCCCCGGTGACCCCCCGGTAACGCCCCCGCGACCCCCCCCCGACCCCCCCCCATGACCCCTTTTTCCCCTCCTGTAACCCCCCTCCGGAAACCCCCTTTAACCCCCGGTAACTCCTAAAGGATCATCCCGGGGGGGGATGCCCCGGCCCCGGCCATTGACCCCACTGATGGGGGCGGGAGGGATCCGGTAACGGGGGGGGGGGCGCACACCGGGAGTGCGGTCCCGTTCCCGGGGTGCAGGGCCACGGTCCATGGAGGGAGGGGGGGGTCCCGACCAACCGGAGCCTCCCTTGGGGGGGTGTCCGGTCCCGTTATTGGACACCGGGGTCTGATGTCACCGGCGGGAACCGACGCTGAGTCACGGTGGGGCCACGGAGGGGGGGGGGGGGGAGCCGTTCCCACGCCCCCTCATTCATTCATTCATTCATTCATTCATTCATTCATTCATCGGTCGTTTATTCATCAGGGCAAGTCCCGCCCCCAGTGCGGGGGGGCGGGGCCGGGGGGTGGGGCAACCCCGGTGGTGTCCCTGTGGTGTCCCGTTGCTCCCGTTTGGTGTCCCCTGGGATCTCAGCCCCGGTGTCCCTGTCCCGGTCCCAGCCGGGCTCTCCCCGTTGTCCCGGTGTCCTGCTTCCATTCCCCCCGGGGTCCCTTTCCCGGTTCCAGTCCCGGTGTCCTGGTGTCCCGGCCAGGTTCCTCCCAGATCACGGTGACCCAGTCCCAGTGCCCTGTTATCCCAGGGTCCCCAGTCCCGGTGTTCCCGTATCCCTGTCCTGGTTCCAGTATCCCTGTCCTGGTCCCAGTCCCGGTATTCCGGTATCCCTGTCCCGGTGCCTGTATCCCGGTGTCTATGGATCCGGCCGGGTTACCTCCACTGTCCCGGTACCCTGGTCTCGGCCGGGCTCTCCCCAGTATCCCAGCCCCGGTACCCCGGTCGCAGAGTGGTTCCCTCCAGGTCCCGGTGTCTCGGGGTCCGGCCGGGTTCCCCCCCGTGTCCCGCTACCCCGGTGTCCCTGTCCCAGCTTCTGTGTCCCTGCCTCCGTCCCGGTGTCCCGGTCCGGCCGGGCTCTCCTCGGTGTCCCTGTCTTTGTTCCTTTCCTGGCCGGGTTCCCCTCGGAGTTCTGGTACGCCTGTCCCCATATCCCTGTATCCCTGTATCCTGGTGTCCCAGTGTCCCCATATCCCGGTGTCCCAATATCACGGTCCCCATCCCTGTATCCTGGTCCCCATCCCTGTATCCCGGTCCCTGTATCCCAGTCCCTATCCCGTTATCCCGGTCCCCATCCCTGTGTTTCCCGGTCCCTATCCCGTTATCACAGTCCCCATCCCTGTATCCTGGTCCTCATCCCTGTATCCCGGTCCCCATCCCTGTATCCCGGTCCCTGTATCCCGGTCCCTATCCCGTTATCCTGGTCCCTATCCCGTTATCCCGGTCCCCATCCCGTTATCCCGGTCCCTGTATCCCGGTCCCCATCCCGTTATCCCGGTCCCTATCCCGTTATCCCGGTCCCCATCCCGTTATCCCGGTCCCTATCCCGTTATCCCGGTCCCTGTATCCCGGTCCCTGTATCCCGGTCCCTATCCCGTTATCCCGGTCCCCATCCCGTTATCCCGGTCCCTATCCCGTTATCCCGGTCCCCATCCCGTTATCCCGGTCCCCATCCCGTTATCCCGGTCCCCATCCCGTTATCCCGGTCCCTATCCCGTTATCCCGGTCCCCATCCCGTTATCCCGGTCCCTATCCCATTCGCTCTCTTCCACACACAAACCCCCCCCCCCGCTGTAAACACGCTCGTGTCGCCCGGCGACGGCGTTCCATGCCGGTGACGTCAGCACGTCCGGCGTCCCGTGTTTACGTCGCGCGGCAACCGCCGTGACCTTGGCAACGGAGAGGGGCGGGGCCAGGGCCCGAATGAGGGGGGGCGTGGTCAGGGTGGGAAAGGGGCGGGGCTTGCGCCGCCGGGCTCCGGCGCGTTCCGCGGCGCTGGCGGAGGGCACGGCGGGGTCACAGGGGTCCGCAGGGTCACGCGGGGGTCACCCAGTGACCCCCCCCTTAAGCCCCCCCTCTTTACCCCCCCCGTGTCCCCAGATGCACCCCGGTTGTCACAAGAGTCTTTATTAAAGTGGGTCCCCCCCACAGGACAGGGGGGGCCGGGGGGGACCCCGGCTCCTTCCCCCCCCCCCTCCGCTGTCACCTCGGGCGGGGGGGGGGGGCACACGGGGGGGGTCACTGCGGCTTCGCTTTGGCACTGGGGAGCTTGGCCTGGATCCTGCGGGAGAGTGGAGCTGGGGGGGGGTGGAGAGCCCCAACCCCCCCCCGGGGGCACCCCATAACCCCCCCCCCCCCGGAGAGGTTCTGGGGGGGGGCAGGGGTGGGGTTGGGGTGCGGGGGGGTGGCTCTGACCTGGCCCGGAGGTGGCTCAGGTGGCTCCGCACCAGGGTCACGTATTGGTCGATCTGGGCCTGGGGGCACAGGGGAGCAATTGGGGACATGGGGGGGGGGGAGGCCGGGACCCCCTTGTCGTCCCCCCCTTGTCCCCCCCCCCATGTACCTGGTGGTGCCGGTAGAGCACGGGGAAGGTGAACGCGCAGATGACGCCTGGGTGGGCAGCAGCTCGTCACGCACCATGTGCCCGTGGTGTCCCCATGGCATCCCCATCCCATGTGCCCATGGTGTCCCCATCCCATGTCCCCATGGTGTCCCCATCCCATGTCCCTTATGTCCCATCCCTCTCCCATGTCCCAGTCCCAAATCCTTTGTCCACATCCCATGTCCCTGTCCCCACACCTTGTCCCCATACTGTGTCCTTTATCTCTCATCCCCCTCCTATGTCCCTGTCCCCATGCTACATCCATGTATCTTGTTTCCTATACCAATGACCCATCCCCATCCCATTCCCATCCCCATCCCATTCCCATTCCCATCCCATCCCATCCCTATCTCCATCCCATCCCCATTCCTTGTCCTCATCACATCCCTATCCCCATCTGATCTCCATTCCAACCCATTCATATCCCCATCCCCATCCCTTCTTGTCCTCATCACATGCCTATCCCCATCCCATCTCTATCCCATTCCCACCCCCCTCCCATCCTCATCCCTTTCTCATTCTCATCCCATCCCTATCCCCATCCCACCCCTATCCCCATCCCTTGCTTTCCCCATCACATCCCTATCCCCATCCTCATCCCCATTCCCATTCCCATTCCATCCCCATTCCCACCCCATCCATACCGGCTCCCAGCAGCGTCAGCCCGTTGCAGACGGCCCCCACGTAGGTCAGCAGGTAGAACAAGAAGGCGAACTGTGCCCAGAGCCACCATCATCACCGGCACCGCCACCGGCACCCCCGGCACCCCCAGCCCCACATCCCCCCGGCCCCACATTCCCCCCAGTCCCACATCCCCCCAGCTCCACATCCCCACATCCTCCCCAGTCCCACATCCCCTCAGCCCCACCGGCACACCCCACACCCCCCCCCCAGCCCCACATCCCCCCACATCCCCACCTTGAGGGACTCAGGGACGCTTTGCACCAGGAAGAGCCGGGCCAGGGTGCGTGTGGCCGCGCACAGGTGCCGGGCGAGGCGCCGGGCCCAGCGCTGCTGCTCCTCGGGGCTCAGCCCCACCGCAGCCTCCGGCGGCTCCCTATGGGGCAGGGACAAGGGGGGGGGGGTTAAGACCCCGTTGGGACCTTGGGGATGGGGACGCCCCATGGTGAAGGGGGGGAAGGAACCCCATTGGGACCTTGGGGATGGGGACGCCCCATGGTGAAGGGGGGGAAGGAACCCCATTGGGACCTTGGGGATGGGTCTGCCCCATGGTGAAGGGGGGGAAGGAACCCCATTGGGACCTTGGGGATGGGGACGCCCCATGGTGAAGGGGGGGGGGGAGGGGGGGAACCCCATTGGGACCTTGGGGGAACCCCATGGTGGGACCTTGGGGATGGGGACGCCCCATGGTGAAGGGGGGGAAGGAACCCCATTGGGACCTTGGGGATGGGTCCGCCCCATAGGGCCGTGGGCGGGGGAGGGCCCTCACTCACCGCGGCGCCCGGTGCGGCCGCAGCGCCCGCAGCGCTCCCTGGTGCAGGCGCCGGGGCAGCGTCACCGCCAGCACCGCCAGGGCCCCGTAGGCACCGACGCTGACGGCGCTGAAGCGCGCGAGGCAGCCGAGCCCCGCCAGCAGCGCGAGCAGCACCAGCGCCGAGCGCGCGGGGTCCCGCCAGTGCAGCAGCTCCCACACTGCGGGGGCAGAGCCGGGATGAGCGCCCCAAAGGGTCCCACTGCAGCCCAGTGCGTCCCGATCCATCCCACTGCAGCCCAGTGCATCCCAATGGGTCCCAGTGCAGCCCAGTACGTCCCGACCCACCCCAGTGCGTCCCGATCCATCCCAGTGCGTCCCGATCCATCCCAGTGCACCCCAGTGCGTCCCGATCCAGCCCAGTGCGTCCCGACCCAGCCCAGTGCATCCCGATCCATCCCAGTGCATCCCGATCCATCCCAGTGCGTCCCGATCCATCCCACTGCAGCCCAGTGCGTCCCGACCCACCCCAGTGCGTCCCAGTGCATCCCGATCCATCCCAGTGCATCCCAATGGATCCCACTGCAGCCCAGTGCGTCCCGACCCACCCCAGTGCGTCCCAGTGCATCCCGATCCATCCCAGTGCGTCCCAATGCATCCCGATCCATCCCAGTGCATCCCGATCCATCCCAGTGCATCCCAGTGCATCCCGATCCATCCCAGTGCAGCCCAATGCATCCCGACCCATCCCAGTGTGTCCCAATGCATCCCGACCCATCCCAATGGGTCCCACTGCAGCCCAATGGATCCCGATCCATCCCAATGCATCCCAATGGATCCCCGTGCATCCCAATGCAACCCGATCCATCCCAGTGCATCCCATTGGATCCCAATCCATCCCAGTGCATCCCAATGGATCCCGATCCATCCCAGTGCATCCCAATGGATCCCAGTGCATCCCAATGCATCCTGATTCATCCCAGTGCATCCCAATGGATACCCGTGCATCCCAATGCACCCCAGTGCATCCAATTGGATCCCGATCCATCCCAGTGCATCCCAATGGATCCCAGTGCATCCCAGTGGATCCCAGTGCGTCCCAATGCATCCCAGTGCCTCCCAATGGGTCCCACTGCATCCCAATGGATCCCCACTGCATCCCAATGGATCCCAGTGCATCCCAGTGAACCGCCATTGGATCCCAGTGCAGCAGCTCACACACTGCGGGGACAGAGCCAATGACCCCCCTGTGCATCCCAATGACCCACCCCCCCCCCGCATCCCAGTGCATCCCATTGGATCCCAGTGCATCCCCGTGACCCCCAGTGCATCCCCTTGCATCAGCTCCCACACTGCAGGGCAGTGTGCAATAACCCCCCTGCATCCCAGTGCATCCCAGTTCATCCCAATGAACCCCTAGTGCATCCCAGTGCATCCCATCGGATCCCAGCGTACCCCAATGACCCCCCACCCTGCATCCCAGTGCATCCCAATGACCCCCCACCCTGCATCCCAGTGCATCCCAGTCCATCCCAGTGACCCCCAGTGCATCCCCATGCAGCAGCTCCCACACTGCGGGCAGTGTGCAATGACCCCCCCCCGCATTCCAGTGCATCCCAGTCCATCCCAATGAACCCCCAGTGCATCCCACTTAACCCTCCGCTGCATCCCACTGCATCTCACTGCCCCCAGCGCTCCCAGTGCCCCCCATTGCCTCTCACTGCTCCCAGTAGCCTCAGGGCCCCCCCAGTGCCTCCCAGTAACCCCAGTACCTCCCCCCCAGTAACCCCTCCAGTGACCCCCACTCCTCCCAGTACCCCCCTGGAGACCTCCCAGTGCTCCCAGTGCCCCCTGACACCCCCATTGCCCCCCATTGCCCGGTGCCCCCCCCACCCTGTCTCTCCATGGCTCCCGCTGGCGCTGCCGGGGGGGTCACCCCTATTTTTAGCGGCCAATCCCTCGCCGCCGCCCGGGTCCTCCCCGCAACCGGACCCCGGGCCCCCCCCCGCCGGGAGCCCCCCCCTCCCCTGCGCCGCGCCCGATTGGCTGCTTACCCAGCACATCAGCGCCCGCCGGGCTCGCTGATTGGTCGGGGGGCGCAGGAGGCGGGTCCGGGTTCGGCGGGGGGTCCGGAGGGGGCGCGGGGCGGGCCGGCTGCGGGGCGCCCCCTGCGGGCTGGGGGGGGGCTGCTGGGGGAATGGGGGGGTCAAAGGGTTATGGGACCCCCCCGTATCCGAGACCCCCCCCCAGGCCCCCCTATGGCACCGAGTCCGCATTGGGGCCCCCCCCATATCTCCCAGCCCCCTCTTAGGGACCGCTCCCATGGCCCCCCTTCCCTCCCTTTAACCCCCCCATTGCCCCCGGCTCCCCTTGAGGAGCCCCCCCATTGCCCTCAGCCCCCACTGAGGCGTCCCCACGACCCCCAGCCCCCCCTTCGGGACCCCCCCATGACCCCCAATGACCCCCTTAGGCACCCCAATGCCCCCCCATACCCGGCCTCATCGGGGGCTCCTCCATCTCGCCCCCCCCCCCCACCGGCAGGGCCCCCTCCACCTCCAGCCGCCCCTCGGGGGGGGGCGGGGGGTCCCCAGGCCGCTTTGGGGGGGCTCTGACCCCTAAATGGGGGTCCAGCCCCCGGGGGGCGGGGCCCGAGCCCAGGCGGGGGGGGCGGCTCCGGCGGGGGTCCCGGCGGCAGCGGGGTCCCGGTTCTGTTGGGGCGCTGCCCCCCCCTCCAAAGGCGATGTAGGAGAAGGTGAGCTCGCGGGGGGGGGTCCGGGGGGAAGTCCCCCCATCTTCATCCTCCTCTTCCTCTTCGGGGGGCTCCGGGGCCACCGCAAGCTCAGGGGGGAACTCGGGCTCCTCAGGGCCACCTTTGGGGGATTTCGGGGCGTCAAGGTGGGGGGTTGGGGTTTCCCCCTTCCCCCCCCCCAAATCTGCACCCCCAAAGGAGGGGTTCGGCCCCACTCACCCTCCGTGGAGTCCGGGGTGGTGGAGGCCGTGGACGGAGCCTCTTCTGTGGGGACACACACACACAAAGGGTGTGGGGGGGACCGTGGGGAACCCCCGTGTTCCGGAACCCCCAAACCGGCTCCAGCACTGCCCCCCCCCCCCATCACGCCCTATCTCCGGTGTCCCGGGCCCCGGATCCCCGGTACCCCCCATTCCCATTCCCTCCATCCTGGTACCCACATCCCCGGTACCCACATCCCCGGTACCCACATCCTCGGTACCCGCATTCCCGGTACCCACATCCTCGGTACCCGCATCCCCGGTACCCACATCCTCGGTACCTACATCCCCGGTCCCTCCATTCCGATACCTGCATCCCCGGTACCCACATCCCCGTTATCCCCCATCCCCGGTCCCTCCATCCCGATACCCCCAATCCCGGCCACTCCCGGTGCCTCCACCCCTGTTATCCCTGTCCTCGGACCCTCCCCGTCCCCCCATCCCCTAACCAGTGCCCCGGTTCCCCCTCCCTCCCACTCCGGTCCCTCCCCGTTCCCGGTTCCCCCTCCGCGGTGCTCCCATTCCCGGCCACTCCCGGTTCCCCATCCCCAGTCCCCCCGGTTCCCCATTCCCGGTGCTCACATTCCCGGTCCCTCCTCGTTCTCCATCCCTATTCCCCCATCCCCGGCACCTCCCGGTTCCCGCTTCCCCATCCCCGGGCCCTCCCGCTTCATTCCTCCCGATTCCGGTCCTCTTCATCCGCAGCCGCTCCCGGTGCCTCCGTCCCCCCCTCCCTGCCCCCGGTTCCCGGTTCCTACTGCAGTGGGCGAAGCCCAGGACCTGCCCCATGGCGGCGGCCCCTGCATGAGGCTCCCGGTTCCCCTCGGCCCCGTTATCGCCGGGCCGGCCCCGCCGCCCATCACCGCTCCGCCATGGCGGGGCCCGCGGCAACGGCAGCGGACAAAGGGCGGCGGCGGCCGCGGCGCCGGGGGCGGGGCGGCGGCGGGCGGGGCCCGGGGCGGGACCGAAGGGGACCGGGAATCGGGAACCGGGAACAGGGAACCGGGATCGGGAACAGGGAACCGGGATCCAAGCACCGGGATCGGCATCCGGGACCGGGATCCGGGCACCGGGATCCGAGCACCCGATCCGGGCACCGGGACCGGGATTCGAGCACCGGGATCCGGGTACCGGGCCCGATATCCGAGCATCGGGACCGGAATCCGAGCACCGGGATCGGGAACAGGGAACCGGGATCCGAGCCCCGGGACCGGGATCAAGGCATCGGGATCGGGAACAGGGAACTGGGAACCGACATCGGGAACCGGAGCCGGGATCCGTGCACGGGGCACCGGGAACCAGCACCGGGCACCGGGCACCGGGCTCCGGTGGGGCGTGGCCTTGTGTGTGGGGGCGTGGCCTCGGGCCGGGACTGTCCGGTCCTTCTCCCCCCTCCCCGGTCGCCGCTACCGGAAGGGCCCGGCCTGGCCCCAGCGTTGCCGCCGCCAGCATGAGGTGAGCGGCCGGGGCGGGAGCATAGGGAATACCGGGAACACCAGGAAATGGAACAGGGGAACACCGGGAATACCGGGAACTGGAACCGGGGGACACCGGGAACACCGG